ATTTTTTTTCTCTGTAAAACAAATATTACTCGATTTTACTTATATTGTAATTATCCAAAAACAACCTTTCACTGTAATAAATTTGAGGCAATGATGTTTATGCTCTTTTTCTAACAATTCAGAAGTACAAGGGGAGAGAATATTCTGGTGAATTTTTTGTACTGTATAGTATTGACATTTCTAGCAACAAAAAAAAAGCGAACATAATTCTGGTTAGCAAAACTGAAATATATAGTATTTAAGCCATTCATTTGATAATTTTTGCGTTCATATGGTAGCGGTTTGCATGAAATTCTGGCTTTTAAAATAACCACTGATTTTTACCACGAAATTGGTAAAAAATGTAAACAAATAATGTAACCGAATAATTCATTTTTAATTTTTATGTCTTGCTCTGAAGTATCATGATAATATTACTTAATTTCGCCTCGAAAATTTTTCACATGTTATAAAACCATATTTTATTTTTAACTTTACCAAACTCATTGCCAAAGCGTTTCCGGTAAAATTTACCGAAGCGTTTTGGTGTTCCCATAGACTCAGAAACACGGTAAATTTATTCATATTCTGTTAGTTTAAAATTAAATCATGCTTTCTCTGCGGAAATGTAACACTTGAGTTAAGTTTTAAAACAATTTTTTACAACGATTAAAAAAAATAGCTGCATATGGAGAAGAACAAGAGAAACTTCCTTAGTTCCTTCTACATTTTTTTACACTATTTATAGTCATTTTATGTTGGAAAATATTTCATTTTCAAGTTACTACATACTTCCGTTGCATTGTTAATAAATACAAATACTTATTTTTGCAAATACTTGAGTTTTTTGCAAATACTAAGAAAAATTAGTTCTCCTAATTCCCGAGAAACAAACGGTGAATGGTCATTATTTAATGTAAGAATATTAGCATTCATCTTTATGCACAGCGTCCCTTATGAAATGTTTAACTATACGTTTATTACATTTTTACAGTTTATTACAGTTTATTACATTTTTTGAACTTATCTTAACTCTTCTTATTTCTTCATTGTACTCTTAGTTCATTTTAAACACGTCTTCGTAATGTAACGTCCTTTCGTAAATTAATGTTCGTAATTTAACCTTCCTTTTAAATGCTATTCTCACTTACTTTACTTACTTATTCTCTATGTGCCTTTGGGCACTTAAGGCCTTTAGCATATCCCTCCAACGCCTCCTGTCTCTAGCAATAGATCTTGCTTCCTCCCAGCCAGATATTCTACATTCTTTTAATTCGCCCAAAAACATGCGCTGGATGGTAAGTCTGGGTCTTCCTCTTGTTCTTTTACCATGAGGGGCCCATGTAAGTGCGACAGATGTAATTTTTTCTTTGGGCATTCTAAGGATATGTCCGAGCCAGCTCCATATTCGTTTTTTAATTTCATCTTCTATTGTTTTTATTTTAGCTTTCTTTAATCGATTTTGACTTGATACTTTGTAAGGCCAGAAAATTTTAAAAATAAATCTCAAACATTTGTTTTGAAAGTTTTTTAATTTTTGTTTTTCCATTTGTATCGATCNAAATGACTCTATGTCATCTATTTCGTGATTTTCGATTTTAATTTTGTCATTTTTCTTTTGATTTATTCTCATTACTTTAGTTTTCTTCTTGTTTATGAATAAACCTACACTATTTGAATATTTGTTGAATTTGTCTGTTTTAAGCTGAAGGTCTGTACATTTGGATGAAATAAGTACGATGTCATGCTATTCTCACTGCAAGACAAAATTGTGTCCACAATATTTTTTCAATAAAGCGGTAGATTCTTATACATTTGAATGCTTTTAATAAATAAAACCAGCAACAACTTCAGTTTAAAATTTAATTAATAAAATCAACAAAATCGTGTTAATATAAGTGTTTTAGCGACAATTGTTATTCAAGGTAATTCTATCGTGCATTAAAAACAAAAATCTTATGAATTATTTTAATGAGAACCAAACATGTGTCACTTTAATTAAAATAGAAGTTGAATAACAAAGACCCCTCACAGTGATTTATACAAATTTAAAGTAGCTTTTTAAAAGAAATTATCATAAATATCAGGCGTTTACAAATATTTGAGGAAAAAAAGATGATTAGCCTTTCTTTTTTACATCAAGGGTGGAGATAACACATTTACATTTGTCGAAAAAGAAAGTTATGCTTACTTTCACATTGAGCTAAAAAGAGAAGATTAGGTCACCGCACAGCTGGAAGAACATCACTAACAAAATTCACCTGAAAAAAGCACAATTGAGATGCGTATTTATTTTTGAAAGAAGGAAAAATGTTAAGTTAAGGTTCAAGATGAAATGGATTTTTTTCGATGGATCGGAGATATAATTAATAGATTTTCATTGATAACTTGGGAAATGATTAATGATGGCATAGTTAGAGGCAACTTACTGTATCGATTTCCTAAAACCTTTCCAAATATGTTTTTAAAATATTGCATTTGTCAGTCTTAATATAGTTTTATTCATTTTTTTCCAGATGTTTTTAAGATAAATGATGACATAGTTTTGAAGAGTTATACAAAACACTATAAGCTATGAAACTAAAGTCAGTTTGAAAAGTTTGCAGTTGTATTTATCATATTTTCTTTTAAGGTTTTTAAGATGAGTCGTCAAAGTTAATTATTAAATTTTGATTAGATGAAACAAATATTCATCTAAAATAAAGACAAGTTAAATTTTTTTTCCAGTTTTTTCTGAATTCTAAATTTCATAAAAAATTAAACTTGTTACTCTGAAAAAAAGGGTTAGTTTTAAAAAAAATATCATTCAGCAGAAAAAAATGCAATTTTGTCATGGCCCTATTTAAAAACAAATAGTTTTGTAAACCTTAATTGAGAATCCACTTTACGGGAAAATCCTTTACTGGTAATTATTTTAAACAAAAAAAAGTTTTTTCTTTTCTAGAAAAGTGCTAAGAACATCTAACAATTATAGTTTTTGCTTTTATCATAGTTTTATGAACGAAAACAATTTAAAATGTTTAGTGAAGTTAAATTGCAACCTAATCTGTTAGGCCTGGACAATGTTTTGATGAGCTTTGCTAATAATATTACATTTACTTATTTTTGCATTGCACGGAGAAAAAAACATTTTGGTCAAATTACCATACTGAATGGTACTCAAATTACCATACTGAATGGAAATTTTGGCGAAAGGAAAACCATAATTCTGGTTAAAAAAATATTAGGTAATTAAACCTTGTATTTTCGGTAATTTTTCTATTCATATGATATAGGTTTACAGGAGATTCCTGGCTTTCAAATTTACAATCACATTTTGTACAAAATAAAAAACTGGAAAGTATATTTAACCGAACAAGTGGTTTTTATATCATTCCTTAAGGTATCATGATAAAATTATAGAACTTTACGAAATTTTATCACATATTGTAAGCCACATTTTATTATAAATTTTACCAAGTGTATAAAAAAAGCGCTTCCGAAAATATTACCGAGCTTTTAGAACAAAGAAAGAAACATAGAAAATTAACCTCCAAAAGATCCATCTTCTGTTAGCTTTGACTATAATTTTTTTTGAAAAAAAAAAAAATTTTTTTTTTAAGGATATATATCATGACTCCTCAATTCTCAACACAGCTGAGGATAGATACATAATCTCAAGTAGTCTGTTTTACAGAAAAGATCATTAATACAATGCATATGAATTATATTTTGTTTGTAATTGTTATATTTAGTCACCAATATGAATATCTTTTAAAATACTTAATAAATAAATTATGTTTCCAATCGATTTTCTGTTAGAGTTCTAATTTAGAAAACAAATGTTACTCTGGAAGAAAAAGTTGATCTGAGTTAAGCAGAAACTTTGCAACATTTTACACAAAAATCTGTGATTTTTGTTGGAATTCAAGATTTTGTCTTCTACTTTTAGCCTCTTAAATATTAAATTCTTAAGTTTCCTAAAGAGAATAGAAATCTTGAATTGAAGCAGCATTTTGCAGCCAAACTTCATTTCCGGAATGTACAACACTTGTTAATGTATTCCAAGTAAAAATTATAGCCTTTTTTCTGGTATTTTTAAAATTTAATAATAACTCATGCGTATTTTACCCTAAATCCTAACCCAAAAAATTATGTGTGGAAGTATTCAATCTCATTAGCGAATGTTAATTTTCACGTTATTTTTCAAACTCCATGTCCCGCGAATTGATATGTGTATTAGAATTGATCTAAATTTTAATATGTTTCGCCTCAAAATATTTTTCAATCTACACTGAGAAAAACACATAGTCAAAGCTATTAGTTTCTGGTAAATTTTACAGCGTTTCTGACTCTGTAAGAACACCAAAAAGCTTGGTAATTTCTACAGTATTTTTGTAATGATTTTGGTACAATTAATATTAAAATACGATTTTATAATGTGTGTTAAAATTTGGTAAATAAAGCAAAATTTGATAATTTAATCATTATTCCTCAAATAATTTAATCGGTTTTCTTTTCAGCTTTGTATTTTTTTACTAAATGTGTGGTAATAAGAACTATAATTTTGAAAACCAGAATTTCCGCGTAAACCGTTACAGCAAATGAATAAAAAAGCTACGGAATCAATAGTAAAAATACCGTATATTTTGATTTTATTACTGAAATTATGTTTTTTTATACTAGAAAGGCCTTACTATACAGTACACTAAGTTTTAAATTTACCAGAATTTTTTTCCTTGTAGAGAGTAATTGAAGGATCAGCAAACTAGTAAAAACAAATAAATAAGGAAAATGTTTTAGTTCCACGATGTATCACATGAAATTTACGCATAGTATACGTATGAGTAAAATTTATGCCGGGCTTGTAAGGTAAGTAATTATGCAAATTACTAACCTTACAGATCTACGATAAAACACTGAAATATTTTACCACTCATTCGAGTAAATCAGTTTAAGAAACACTGGCTAAGATATCTTTCCTGATAGCTATAATTTGGAGTTCATTCGTCAAGTTAAAAACTCAAATAAATGAAATTTTATGCATTATGAAATTTGCATTTATTTACACACAAAGCATACACAAAAGAAAATAATTTTTACAAAAGTATCACACATTTACATGTTTTACACAGAGAACAGAAACAATTATGTGCGTTACGAGAACTTTTATATAATATTTCACACATCCCATCCAGAAGAATAAATATCTTCTTTTCCATAAACATAACACAAATGGAACTTTAAGAAGGTGATTTGAAAAGCGTGACAAGCATAACAATACTGGCTTCATTTAAATACAAAACATACAATAAGGCACATCACAGAAATTTGTTGTCTAATCCGGGTACCGAGAAAGCCATTTCGTTCCTTGAATCAAGAAATTTGCATGATATGGAGGCTTTGTTCAACATGATTTAATTGTTTTCACTTTATATTTTATCATTCACAAGCTATTTTGTATATTAGTATCAAGTCGATTTAAATACTTATCGTTATTGTTTTGATGCTTATACTCTCTCTAAACACAAAATATGGTTTTAAAAGGAAGAGTGTTGATAACAGATGCAAATTTCAATTTGGAACAAAGAAACTTGAGTTTATAGCTTTACAAAAGCCAGGCTCTAGTTTAAGAGATTCGCAGCTTTCAATTATATTTAAAAGTAGAGGGAAAAAGCTGCGTCAATAAAAAATAAATCTAAATATCAGCGTGAAACATCAAAATATCTATTTTAGTTAACAGGAACTTTTTTTTTCTACCGTCTTTCAAAACTGTAGGTAGCTTAAAGCTATCGCAGCAATAACCTTTGCCAACATGCGCTTCCATATCAAGTAAATCTCTCAGTTAGTGGTAATGTGAATTGGTTTAACCTCGTCTAGCTGGTGCTGGGCTGTTTAAATTTCTTGCTGCATAATTTTGAATGAGTGGTGCAGCTCGTTGGATATCTTGGTCATCTAAGAAAAGAGCTTTTGGATCACCACTTCGTAGGTTATCATTGAGGTAAAAGAAGCTAGCCGCATCCTGGCATGGAACTGAGTCCTCGGGCATACCGCATGTGAAGCTCAATTGGTTAAACATCTGTTAAAAATTTAAAAAAAATTTATTAGAGAGCAAAGTAAAAGAATTTTTAAAGAAACTTCTTTTTTAATAATATGATATAAAGTTTTTATGTTTACTATAGGAATACTATATTTTATTCTTTATTCATGAGGTTCTAAATAATCATCATTTAAGCTGTTAGAGCCATAGGGTTAGCTCTCTTGGTGTTTTAATTTGCAGACAACGGATAGGTTTCTTTTCGTGGTTACTGATCAACGGTTTGTTGAATGGTGCTCTTGGAAATATGTTCCCCTTAGAAAACATTCAATTATTGCCACTCAGTATATTTATACACTAAGGTCTTAACATTTCAATAAAAAGGATTAGAATAATATGAAATATCTAATTTTGTTTTCAAAAATGTTGTCTAGAACCTTCATCCACTATATCCAATTATCCAAAACAATAAGTTAATTATAACTTTTGAAAAAATGTATACAAAGAAATAAGTTTTTGAAATTGTTTATAATATACCAGTATTTCTCAGTATGGGGAAGATTAAATAGTTTTAGATATTTTTACATTATCATAAATAAAAACATTTAAAATTTAATTTCGTTTTATTGGAGAGCATATTATAAGTAAATATAATGTATAATATATAAAAAACATATTTTCTATTATTTCTCTCGATAATTAAAAGTGATTTTTTGATTAATTTTCAAACTCTGCTAAGTAAGCCAGAAAAATTGGGATAAATGCTTTATCGTCATACAGGCTAGTTTCACTCAAGTGTGTGTTTTGCTTTAATATTAAAATAAAACATTTTGGCACTAATTTCATGATTTTTCTCCTATTTGTGGAGAGAAGGGCTAGAATAGAAATTCTTAATAAGTTTGCTAATATATTAGACTAATTATCATTTTGGTATAAAATCATTTTGTATTATCATTTTGATACATATTTAATACTTTTTTGATTAAAATTCAAACTTTTATTTTTATATTGAATGATAAAACACTAATTTGGATGTATATATATATTATAATAGCAGTATAATAATAAAAAGAGCTATTTTAATATCCAGAAATATTCATTTTATTACTGCTATATAAAAGTTAAAATATGTTTAAGAATTTTTACCTATGCTTTTCATTGAGCAAGAATTACAGGAAATTAATAAAAAATTGAAGAAAATGTTTCGTATAAACTAAATATTTTACAAAAATGATCTCATTTAATAAATAAATACCCTATAAAGTTGTGTGTTACTAATTAAACAACATTATTTTATGCAAGTGCATATAAAAATACGAAGCAACTTTGCCAATATGCTAAAAATTACTGAGAAATTCACACAACATTCTAATGTCTACACTAGCCCCTTTATCCCTTACATATATTTTTTTATCACTTATAAATTCATTTCATACATATGAATTCTAGTTATTTATAATGAATATTGATTGAATATTTCTTATGAAATATGCATTCAAAACTATTCCATACAATGTTTGACAACATGTTTTATGCATAAATTTTTTGCAGAAATGGAAAAAATATGTATATATAGTCGTAGAAAAATTTTAAATATTTATACACTTTATAGTTCGACTTTTTGAAGAATGAAATATAATATAATCAGCTTACACCCGAAAATAAAACTCTGTAACTCTTTTAATTATTCAAGTTTCTATTTAATTTACATTTTAAACTTTTTGATTGCATTGTTCTATAACATACTAAATTATTTTTTTATTAATAAATTCTCAAAAAAGTATTTTAATTAAAACATAATTGCGTAATTATATAATATTTTCAATTAATCCATTCTAAATTTGATACATTATTTGCATATTCATTCGTAAAGTTAACAAGTTGTTATTTTTGATGTTGATTGATAAGGAACTCTTAAATCTCTGCATTTTATCTAAATTCATATTTACGTGAATAATTCTCTTAAATTTCATATTTACGTGAACGAGCTGCATTTAATCTAATACAATATCTAGAGTCTTGTATCGTCCTATTAAGAATAATGTACAGGTTTATAAAGCCTATGATAAAATGTAATATATCAACGTAATATATTAAGTATAGAGTATTTTAAACGTTAAAATTCATGTAAAATAATTCCTTAAAATCTTCAAGAAGAAATATTTTAAGATGAGGTATTAAAATTTGCATATCTTATTTTATATTTTCATGAAGAAGTTTTTTATGCAGGAAGGTATTTTACTAAGAAGAAGTATTTTGCACCATATAGGTGACTAGGTACATGAATAGGTTATAGAATCAGTAATTTCTAGTCACCGATAATAAGGTACTCGAAATCTAGTGAAATATTTCAGGAAATTTTGTTCAAATTTAATTAAAATTTTTAAAATATTTGAAATGACATCATGCGAAAGTTATTACTACAATAGAATTTTTAACTTATCGTTTCTTATTTAACTAATCATAAATTATCGTTTCTTTATTATTTATTTCAATAAAAAAATTATTAAAGTCAAGAAAAAATCCACGTTTATCTGAAAATCTGAAACGTTTGAGAAAATAATTTTGTGAATTTTAATTTTCGAAGTTTTTTCCTTTTTAAGTATTTATTTTTTCCATAAAAGTTGCGATACGAGACACTTTATAAGTTCAAAACTATCATAAAGTAATTTTTTCTCATTTTAATTTGAAAATTCAAATTTCAGTTCGATGGCGACTAAAAATTAAGAAAAAATTCTTGATCTTTGAATTACGTACAGTCACTCGATAATTCTGGAAATGTTTTGCTTGTTGGGAATGTTTTTTATACATTTTCACGAACTCAGAGCTATCCAAATTCCGTCTTTGAGAGAAAAAAAAACTAAATACAAAGTATATGACGTCATATTGTAATGAAAAGCGTAAGCCAGAATATAAACAATTCTTTTTCAAATTTACCTAATACAAAGAAACAAAATTTCGTGAGTTACGATAAACAAAATTAAGAACATCATCCTCGACTTTGACTTTCAAGGCGTTAAAAATAATAGAATTTCCACGGCTGAATTGCAAATGAATTGGAAAAACTACGCTAGTTTTATATTGTCGTTCGGTTTTTCACATAGAAGTCTGAATTGTTAATGAATTGGAAAAACCACGATATTTTTTTATATTACCGTTTGGTTTCCACACAGGAAGCTGAATTGAGTAGTTTCCGACGAGCCATCTTCTTGGACGTTGGTATGACAAACGTGGAAAATCTGGCAATTGTTTTCAATGTCGGCGTAATAACCTTCGGAACCTTGGGGACAAGCAAAAGAGGTTTTAACACTGCCTACTAATAAATCAGCTCCATCTGGCAGTTCGAAAGCTTCTCTCTTCGTCTGAAATTTGAAAAATATGTTTATTTATAAAATAAACAAATAACCTACATTTTATGTTAGAAAGAAGAGAATTAAAATAATTTTAAATTGTTTTAACAGGGTTTTAATAATTTATTCAAAGAAATTATGCAAATTAAATCACATATTGTATCATTATCATTTCCTCATACCTCTTGGCTTAAATGCCTAAATTCACGAAGTATGAATACTATTCAAGAAAATGTGCTGAATTCTGTATTCCTTTCATCATGTATTTCGTATTTTTGTATTTCATTCAGCAATTTTTTATAATCTAATAAGAATTCAATGATAATTTCTTAAGAAATAAAAAAAAAGTTTAAAAGAAAATGAATGAAACGAATTGAAAAAGTAAATACAAACTAAAATAAAATAACACCTCTGTTTTGCACTATTGTTAAGTATTTTACAACGTACGTAAAAAGTTGTATAATTGTTTATTGGGTTGCTTAATTTTATTTAAAGTTATTTAATTTTTGACCAACAGTTGTGCTGAAGCAATAAAAATATAAAAAGTATGATGTCATAAATACAAATATTAAATAATTTAAAAAATTAAAAAGCAATACTTTTTTTAATATTATTAAGTTAACAGTCAAATTCTAAAGCCTTACCCTTGATTTTGAAACTGCAGCAGCAGCAACAGCAATTAGAACTATAAAGAAATTTAATGCATTGATTTATAAACTAAAATTAAAAACTATAAATATCTAAAATAATGTGAAAAATCAAACTACATGAAAATTAATTGTTATTTTTGAAATGAAAATTGGATTCTAAATAATAAAGCAGCTTAAAACATTCTAAGTTGAATTTATTTTAAATATTCGTAATTGATTGTCTGAAACATAGTAAAAGTGATTTTTTATTGTTCATGTATCTTTTATGAGATCTTAGTTTTTTTTGTTGCGTTTTTTACTAAACTTTTAAGAAGCAGAATGAGTTCTAGTGAATAATTAGAAAAATTTTAATTTTGATTATAAAAATAAAAGCTTCTTATGCTTTTTTTTATTTTTATAATTTTTACAGTTATTTAAAATTAATATAGAAAACGATATTTAAAAGACTATTTGAATAGATATATTTTATGTATCTATTTAAACTACCTACTCATCACACACCTTTTTTTAATTTCATATTTGGTATATGTGTAATAAATTTGCAACAATTGAAAATTGTTTATTTGTGTTGAAAAAATACTCTTGAATATATCACATTTTCTAAAATATTGTATTAAATTTAGTTTTTAAAACAAAAATGAAAAATTGATTTTATTACTGATTATTGATCATTTTGAAAACACATGAGGCGATTTTTAAAATAGATATATCTTTATTTTAATTAAAAAAGTACTTGTATATGAAGAGATTATTATATAACATATCAATTAAAATATATTGTAAACTTAAATTAATTCTTTAAGACTTTTAGAAATTTTCTTTTAATTCTTTAGATGTCATGTCAAAGATTAAGTATTTGAATGTTAAATAATTTTGAAATTTTATGTTCTATAAACATTTTTAAAATATATTTATTTCGATCATTTACTTTAATTTTCGAATTAAATACTAAGTAAATCACTATCAGTATTACACTTTGTTAATCAGTATTAAATCTTGTATTAAAAATTCTATATTTAGCTCATTCGATTTGTAACATCAACTGAATTATTTCTTATTAATGCATTTTAAATATTTTCTGGTACAGTTTGGAAAATCTCCAAGAAATGTTCGAAGTCCATACTTACCACAAAATACTATTACTTTCATGTTTAGAAATATAAAGCTCCTATAACAAAAAATTTGAGATTAGATATGGTCTTAAATTGTTAAAAAATAATTTACGGAAATATAATAAATTTATGTGAAAATTAGAAGTAATATTTTTTTAAGAAAAAGATTATCATATAAAATATTTTATTGACTTTTTACTAATTTACGAATACGTTCATACTGAAATTCTTTTCTAATAATATTTATCTTTTCATTACTAGGTTAAAATACTTAGTGCTTTACATTTGATTGGAAAGCTAAAAGAAAATAAAAAATTTAAAATCTTTATTTAAAATTTTAATTAATAAATTTAAAACTTTAATTAAAAAAATTCAGACAATTTTCTTTTACTATTATTATAAATTCAATATCAAATGCGCGTTTGAAGATATTTACCTTTGCAGGTAGAAACCTAATATTTAGACATATATTTAAGCAATTTTGAACAAATTTTCATAATCTTTGCTTTTAAAAACATGCTAATACTTATTGAAAAAAATTTAAACTAATACGCATTGAGATTTTTTTTATTTAATTTGTGTGTTTTTACATAAACTTGAACAAAACGAAACAAAACGTCATTTTCAAAATATTCAATTTTGTTATATCATAGTAAATAGCAACTTTTAAATAAATAGCACAGTAAATAGCAACTTTTAACTATGATATTTAATGCAAAATTATTTATTTTTTAGTTTCAAATTGATATCTGGATTTATTATTATATATATTATTATATTAAAAACTATTATATTAAAAATTATTATAATAAAAATTATTACATTAAAATATACAAATATTAAAACATTATTATATTAAAGATTAGTATTAAACAGTTTCATTTTATGGTTTATAAACCTTTTATAAAGTTCATATTTTATGAAATCGATAAAGGTGCAGAAGAGAGAAAATCTATATAAAAAAGATTAATTGAGTTGAATTTTATGGATAAAATTTAAAATTTTGATACTTGAAAATTTAATGAATAAAAATTTGAAAAAAAAAATAAAACAACAAGAATCTTAGAACTTACGTATTCTCCAAGAGGATATATTCCGGAATGGTCTGGGGTTTCACTTTGGATTCTGTTTCAAATACCGATATTGGTGCCTTATTTATATCATAATCCATACACTATTTCACCCACGTGCAAGTGACCGGCACGTGCTCAACATCCAATCAGGGTTACAGAAAAGTATGCCATCGAAAGTTTTAAACTAGACGGACCAACCGGACTCAAAGGATGCTCCATTCAAGTTTCTACTCATCATTAGATTCTTTTTTTTTCCACTCCGGGCTATCTTTTTCTTCTACGGATGCTATGGGAATCGAATATTTTTTGTTCTTTCTTCATTCTTTCACTCTGCGGGTAGAAGATATGCGTTATTAATTTTTTTTGCTTTTGTTTCTTTGATGGGTAACATGGCCAAAAAGGAAAGTGCCAATAAATATTTCTGTCAGACGGTTGCAGGGAAAGAGAAAGAAAAATGTATTAGAAGGCTGTTAGATGAATTAAACTAGTTGTAAGACAGCACATTAACTAAATTACAGTTTGAGCTTTTATAGGGATAAGAATTAGTTGCCCAAGCTTTAAATTTAAGTACTATTTTTTTCTGCTTAAATTATCAGTGAGTAGAAAACTAAGAATAATGAACACAACTGCTTTAAAATTTAGGATTATTTCATCATTTTTAACAAAATATATTTATTTGAAAAAAATTGATATATTGGAAATATATTATTTAGATAAACAACTGTGAATAAGATAAACTCGGCACGAAAGTGTGTTATATATATATATATANTTTGTGACAACTACTGTAACTACAAAGATAAAATGCTAAAAATTCATATAAATATTAAACCATTTAATAGTTCGTCCTTCAAGAATGCATTTTCATGTTCCCGCATGAAAATTATTGGCTAATAAACTTATTTTATTGACTCGTAAATATTATAGGTTCATTTAATATACTTATAAATTGGTGTCAGATATATTTAAATCTTCAAAGTTTTTAATGCTATTATTTTTTAGGATTCTTCCTAGTGTTTAAAATTAATTTATCCGGAGATTTGTCAAATAAAAATGCTCACAGCATAAAAAAATTTTAATTTTAAAGTTGTATATACTGAAAGCTAGAATAAAATTACAGATATATAAAATTCATTGTAAAGAGACTAGTTTATATATATATATATCTTTTGATTTCTAGTATCTTTTCAATAGCATTCCCCTTTCTAAACTAAAAGATGTCCTTTTGGATTATTACTATGATTTCAAAAATTCTGATTTATTTTTGTCTTTTTAATAATAAACTTTACAATGGAAATATATTTTTCTACAGATTGATGGAATACCACAAGGATCTAATTTTTCAACTCTCTTAGCTAATTAATTGTTATATAAAAAAGTTATGCTCATAATACTAAATTGGTTTTTAGATTTATTGATGATTTATTTATCTTTAATTTTCAAAATTATACAATTTTATTAAATAATATTTACCCAGAGGAATTAATCTTGCTTCGTAATCATGATGATAATATTAATTTTAATTTTCTGGATTTAGGTATTTTAAAAGAAGAAAATATCTGCTTTCTTGATGTATGCTATAAAAGAAATGATATTAATTTTTATATAAATGAACTAATTACTTGGAATTCTAATGTTTCTAAAAGCATCTATTTAAATACCATTTTAAATTAAGTGAATATAGTTAAAAGAATATACAGTAATGTTTACTTATCTAAAAAACAAATAGGCAAACTCTTTCAAAATTAGATAAATGACAATGGTTATCCAACTAAAGTAATTAAATTCTATATAAAATCATTGAGTTAATTGTATGTTATTATAAATAAATTTACTAAAAAATTTCTTTGTTAATTTAAATAATTTTTACCATGTGCAAATCAATTTTGGGCTAATCTGGGGCTACAAATGTGTGCAAAACTGGCAATTCGTGTTTATTTTCTCTCTCTTCCTTCATTTTTCATTTTCTAAATAAAAATAATTTTTCTAAAATCATTAAAATTGTATAATTATACATCAACCTTATTAATTTTAAACTTCTTCAAACTTTCCAGCATGATAATACCTTGTGCACATCCATTTTCGGGTTCATGCTTGGTAACTAACAAATCAAACGAGCTTCAGTACTGCAGTAAGAACTCACTATAAAACAAAATCCTTTATTTACGCTTTTACCCCAATTTGTTCTTCTCTTTTCATGTTTTGCAATCTGTCAATCTTATTACGAAAATATTTTAAATCATTTTTGAAACTTTTCCTGTTCATGTAAGTTCATTTGAATTCGCTGCTTGCTTTATAAATTTCGTTTCATGTTTCTTCTTTGCATTTTATTTTCTGTTTTTTTACTTGATATTCATAACTTAATGTGTTTTATTCTATTTTTAAAAAAAAATTTTTTTGAGTGCTCCTCACACTATTGTATTAATATATTTTGCTTTGGTTATATTGATACAATATTAGAAAGCACTCCTTTTTGCAGATATAATCGTGTGAGCTGATGAAGAGATTATATATTTTTATTATTATTTTTTTAAATAATATTCTTTTTCTCTTTTTTGATTATTTTGTAATTTTTCCCTTGTTTTCTCCAAAACTTACTGACTTTTTTAATTTTTTTTGTTTTTCTCTTTTTTCTTTGTATTCATTTAGTGTACTATATATATATATATAGATTCATTTTTAAAAGACAAATCCGTACCTTTTTTCGCCTGCAGCATATAGTTATTATTTCCTTTATGACACGTGATCCGTAATATCCAGACTTCTTTTTAGGATTGACGCCGAAGTAAGTAAACAAAAGAAAGAATATATTACGATCTTAAATTGAATGGGATTTCGGTTTCATTAAGGCAGTTTACTGTGTGGTATAGATTCATTTTTTAAATGAAAATCCCATTTCCAACAAATTAGCGACAATTTATGTGCGAAGTGATTCTTTTATTATGTGAAAAAGGGGTCATATGTATATTAGAAAACACAATAGATCTCCACTCTGTCCTCCAGTGAGCTCGAACTCGACACCACTCACGTTGTAAACTGCAGTGGTTTGGCGTGAGTGAAATGCAAGGTATAGAGTTTCTCGTATAATAATAAGTACAAGGTATAATAAATGCAAGGTATAGAGCTGTACTTGAAGTAGCCGATTTGTAAAAATTTGTGGTGTCACTGCAGTGCCAACTGAATCTCGAATTTTTGATGCAGACACAGCACGGTGCACCACAGCCATATATCATCCAAGAACCGATATTCTTGAAGAAATACATTCCTTTGACCATTTCTGATAACAATCATGCACAGTGAGCCGTAGTGGCTCATGGAATGGAGATTTCACATTACAATCAGGTTAAACGGGTACAATAATGTGATTTTTCAAATCAATGACAATTAAAGTCTAGGCCAGTAAGAATTGGACATTTATAGGTAATACGGAAACAGGTCAAAATTTGATTCATATCAGGTGAAAAATTAAATTAATTAGATAATTGAAATATAAATGTGTAGATACTTTGCTGTCAAAAAAGCTACTATATATTTTGATGTACTATATACCGGTCAGATTGGCGTAAGCAAAATAGCTAAAAATCTAGTCCTCTGTCGACGTTTTTTTTAAAATTTTATTATTTTATTGACTTTTTTAAGCACAATAAATTGACTAAAATAAAAATAAATAAATAAAATAAGAAATTGATAAATAAAAATAAATAAATAAAGTTTGATTGTGTGGCCTACGGAAGACTAAAATGTACCAAATAATTAAATGAATAAAATAAGTAAATAAACTTAATTTGAATAAACTAACAAAAAATGAATTTTCTTAGGAAATTGGTTTCCACATCATCTCTTTGTGTATTAATAGTTTTAAAAATTAAATGTTTTTAACTGGAAAAAATCGAACGAAAGTTTGGTTTCCGATTGCAAAAAATATAATTGATTAATAGAGTCTCTTCAAAACAAGCTTTTTTATGGTAATTCTATTCATATTTGCAATTTTGTTACTTGCTGACTTGGTTCTCAAATGAAGTGACATTTAACCTCACGATAAAAAAAAACTTCGTAAATAATAATTAAAAAAGTCTAACATCAGCATTTATTTTGATCTCGTGTTTAAACGTGTGTCATCATGTGCCTCACATTAATCTTTTTCAATTATTTAAACATTTTTCGATTGTTAAATTTGAACTAGATAAAAACTTTTATTTAATTTACGCCTACAAATAAAGCTTTCTAACTGATTTAGCACTCGACTATAACTATTTGTGACAACTACTGTAACTACAAAGATAAAATGCTAAAAATTCATATAAATATTAAACCATTTAATAGTTCGTCCTTCAAGAATGCATTTTCATGTTCCCGCATGAAAATTATTGGCTAATAAACTTATTTTATTGACTCGTAAATATTATAGGTTCATTTAATATACTTATAAATTGGTGTCAGATATATTTAAATCTTCAAAGTTTTTAATGCTATTATTTTTTAGGATTCTTCCTAGTGTTTAAAATTAATTTATCCGGAGATTTGTCAAATAAAAATGCTCACAGCATAAAAAAATTTTAATTTTAAAGTTGTATATACTGAAAGCTAGAATAAAATTACAGATATATAAAATTCATTGTAAAGAGACTAGTTTTAATCACAGAGAAATATGATAAAAATTAACTCTAATACTAAAATAAACTAAGAGGCAAATTCTTTATCAATGCACAAAAAATTACAAAACTTTACTACCAAATGCTTACAGCACTCGGTTATGATAATAAATTTAAATATAATTTGAGCATTTGTTTACAGACAGAACAGAGCTCAGAATAATCTTATATTAGAACTTTTTCACAACATAAACTCATATGATCATATTTTGATTAAAATAACTATTATTAACGGGTGGAAAGAACATGAATCTAAATTTTGGAACTATTAATATATTTTAAACAGTGATAAAAAAATGAAAAGAAATAAATAAAAATATGACAGAGACAATAATGATAAATTTTATAGCATCATCTTTTCAAATCCACATGTACAAACAATATCCTTTTAGTGTCGCAAGAGGGCTTAATTTGGAGTTGAGTGAAGTAAAACTTTGAAAAATCTGTCGTGACGATGTCACAGTGGAATCTCTTAAAGTAATGTTTGAAATTTTATTAATTTG